TATATATATATATATATATATCCATATTTTGGGTTTTCATGATCAAATTCTATTTTTAGTTTTCATGTTATTATTATAAGCTGATTAAACCTGTTTTATTGTAGTCCACTAGTCTATATAATAGAGTGGGAAGAAAACACTTAAGGCTACGGGACAGTTTAGACTTGCAATAAAATAAATGTTATTCAGCCTCTCTTCTTAGCTATGAGTTGGTAGGAAAAGACCTGTAGTCTGTGCTGACTTAGTTGTACACAATGATCTTACAGCTGTTTTCTCTTTAGACAATGAACCTGAAAATTCAGTTTAAGACTATCAAGGTACTAACTAGAAAATACTGGTCAATAAAAAAAAAAACAGTTGGAATGTTTTCATCTCAGTTTATTCTTCAGATAATTGAAATATAGAAGAATCAGAGTCATTTTATTTCCCCAGCTTCTTCCACAATACTCCCCCATGGCATGTTCTTCGTATTTGCCGGAACAGTTGTGCTATATATAGAGGCAGCATCTTCAGTTAGTAACACTAGATACCTTGTTTTGTGCAAAGCAGCAGCTGTACATTCTCTCACCATAGATGTCATAGGAATGTCACTAGCACAGATCAGGCAGCTCAGTGGTCCTCAGTGGTACCATTGGGATTTGTGACTGCTAGGTCCTTTTTCAACCATAAAAGATTTCTATACACTGTTTTCTCTTGTAAGTGCTGGGGCCAAGTATCCTGTGTTGATTTGAAAATCATTATTGGTCATCAGATACCTTGGTTAGAGGTCTGGTTGGCCCATTTCTTTTTAATTCTTTTTTATCTTGGAGCCAATTTATTTTCATCAACTGGTCTTTTCTCTGACACACATCTGTTTCCTTTTTTTTTTTTCTAATTCAGAAGTCTTATTATTCAACATTGTGCAAAAGATTTTTTACTTAGAAGTTATCAAATATAATCATTTGTCATTAGTAACATTCCATCTTCTAATCTTTTAAAACATCATAATGGACAAGCACACAAATAAATGTAAATCTCTTGTCGTCATTCATTATCTCTTCAAAATCCACTTTTAATGGATTAATATTGTTGTATGAATCCCTGTGTTTTTTATACAGTAGGATACTAGTTGTGATATAGCTGGTGTATAGAAAAAATGCTGCTAGACTTAAAAAAAAAAAAACCTAAGGAAAGAGTTCTATCTTGAGCCTTGATGGATTAAGTAGAGTTGGGTATTCATTTCGAACATAAAGAACTTTAAAAAAACTGCATAAAATATACAAGGCAACTGTTTCTAAACATTAATCAAAAGGTAGTACAGGATTATAATCACTGAGAGAAATACATGAGATGAGCCTCACAGTCTGCCCTGCTTTCTGCATGAAATCATTCTAGACCACTGTTAAGGGGAGGGAACCCAAAAGCAGCACTGTAGAAACTTTGACTGAAGGAGATGGAGACTGGGGGATTAGGAGGCTGGGGAAGATGTAGCTTTAGTAACAATATATGGAAGACAATGAATTTGCACAGAGGGAAAATAAAACTCAGAAATCTGGATAGAATTCCCTCTGAGTTTGTCTCTTAATAAAATTCTGCACTTATTTAATAAAAATATGATTAGTTTGAGGAAATAATTATCATGGATGTATTAATAGAACAATTCCAGAAACCCCCCATAACTGAAAACTATGTAGAATTTAATTTTATAATAGAACTAAATTATACCTAGAATGAAGAGTACTTTGGATTTTCCCCCAACAAATCTTTAAGACAAACCTTTAGCCATCCAGCTGATCCTCAAGTGACTTAACTACCCACCAAAAGAATCTTCAACATTCTTTAAATGAAGACAATAAAATCCATCCATCAGTAGTATGGTAGTTTAAAAAAATTATCATCTGTCCTTGCAAATAATGTTAAACGTTTAAAAAAACATGCAAATTGTGATCCATAACTAGGAGAAAATAATGACTCGATGAAATAGGTAGAAACAATAAAGGTGACAAAGGTAGCAGCTAAGAATGTTCAAATAGCTATTACAAATACATTATAGAATTTGAAGAAAGCATGAACATAATATGGGAAAAAACTGAAAAATATAAACAAAAAAACTAAATGGAAATTCTAAACCTGAAAAATATAATATATAAAGTAAGAAAGTTTAAGTCCACAGAAGAAAATATCAGTGGACCTAAAGACAATGAAAGAAACTGTTAAAATGAAGCACATTTGATCCACTCCCCCACCCCCTCCAAAAAACAAAAACAAAAAAGATAAAATCCCTGTAATTTGCAGCAACATGGATGGAACTGGAGATCACTGTGTTAAGTGAAATAATACAGACACAGAAAGACAAGCACCACATGATCTCTCTCACATATGCAATACTAAGAAGTTGATAATCATAGAAGTTCAGAGTAGAAAGGTGTCGCCAGAGGCAGGGGACACTAGCAAAGCAGAGGAGGGTATCCTGGGAGAGGTTGAATAGTGGGTCTTAAGTTACAGTTAAATAGGAGCAAGCAGTTCTGGTATGCTACTGCACACTAGGGTGACAATAGATGACACTAAGTGCTGTATGTTTCACAAAACTAGAAGAAAAAAATTTTAAAGTTTTCATTCTAAAGATATGATTTATGTTTGAGAAGATATGTTTAACTTCCTTCAAACCTCATATGCACATATCAAAATAGCACATGGAAACCCATTACTATGTATAATTTTATGTCTTTATTTATTTGTTAAAGTATATTTCTTAAATGTGGTGGATTTGTGGTTACAATAATTGGAAAAATAATCTTTGAAGGAAATGAAAAGAATTTTAATTCTTAAGATATTCTGTACAAGGATAACCTAAGTGGTAATGAATATATTATCCTAGTTTGTTAAATTCAAAGTCACAATATTACACCATAAACTCTTGCAATTGATACACATGTATTGTTTTTATTGCAGGTTATCCAAAGAAGATATCAAAGAAGACATTTAAAAAAGGTGAACATTCATTTACATACATGTTAATAGAATTTGTGCAAAAGGCATTTAGATATTCAGTTCTTAGGTTTCTCTGATACAAGGTTGATCATACATTTATATGATGTTTGAAATGGTGTTCTGTTTCCATGGATCTGATGAAAAATAAGAAATAATTTACATGATATTTGGTGGAAGAGGTTCCAAACATTGTATTTGTTCTTATTCTAAAGCATCATGGTATTTAGAGCATTCAGAATCCAGAGCCACACATGCTATTTTAACATCTTCCAATAATGACTTAAGTGTTGCCTCTATAGTAAATTGCCTTTCCAGTTTAGGTATTTACTCTCCTATCCCATGTTAATCTCAGCATTGTGTGGCTTTAGCAAATTTCATTCAATCTCTACCTGAATGGATGCTTGTCTCTGAGTTGTTAATAGGTTTATATGCAAAAAACAGTGGTGCTATGTAGCAACTAATAATTACCTTTGTCAGCATTATTTTCTGTGCATGAACATCTTTGATTTTGTGGTTTTTAAAAATAATTATTTATGATTATTTATAAGAACTGAGTATTTTTAGTGAATATATCATAGCAGGACAAGAAACAACATTATAAACAGATGGAAAAAAAGCAATTTCCTCTTCATATAGGTTTAGAAACTGATTTATTCCAGTTACTATTTATGGATTTTTACATTTAAACAATGAGAAGAAGTTATTAACTCAGAATGTAAAAAATACAAAATTTAAAGTTCATTTTTTTATTTAATTGTGGAGGAAAGAGTTGAAAATTTATAACTTATTGATATTCTTTAGACATAACTCACTGACCAAAATTTGAATCCAACTGCACAAATTCAATGGCAAAATTTTATAAGCAACATGAATATGCATTTATTTATAATTTCTAAAAAATGCTACTTGTAGGGAAGTAATGACTATCACTTCAAGTAAATGAAGTTTTAACTGTCTGTAACTTCAAAGAACACAGCATATTTAGAAAGGGAGTTTTATTTACAAAATATTTTCCAACTTCTATGATCTCAACGTTTTAGTATTCCATATATGAGTGAGATCATGTTGTGCTTATTTTTCTGTGCCTGGTTTATTTTCATGAAAGGAAATACCAACATTGAAACATTGACTTTTCCCAAAAACAAAATTAGAAAAAGTATATGCAGGTAAATTTTTTACTATAAAATTTTCTATATAATGTCTTTAATAATTCAGAATCTAATTATTCTTGATTGATAAGAAGCATGGAAAGTAGATAATAAAACTCTATTTACATGAACATTAAAAATTATTAAATGCTAAAACAAATATATAAGGAAGACCTCAATCAACTTGAAATTGAAGACTCTGTAACATTGATATAGTTGCAAAGACAGTAGACATTCATTTCAGTGCCTTGGAAAAAGTTTGTTGGAAAGCAATTTCCAAATATGTAGGTCCAAACAAAAGTTCACATTAGAAATTCTATGCTTATGAAAATTTGTATATAGCTTAGAAATGTACTTTTTGTGACACTCAATTTTAAATTCAAGTTATAGCAAACAAGTGTATGCAATTTTTAAAGAATGGTACTTCTTTTATCTACGGACATGGGAAACTAATTTCTTGCTTTATATCCATATTTTAATTTGTAGGCCTAAGAAGAATTATTTTACATGTGTGCATTTTCAACTGTGCACTAAAATAAATTCATGTCTGCCAATGGGGCCACATATGAACAATAAGAACTTTCAGATGCAGAATTTGTTAATTGTATATCAGCATAAATTATATTTAATATTTTGTTCTTTATAATCAATATTTTATGCACTTCTCTTAAACATAAAACTTTTATATCCTCTGTTAAGAGTATATAAAATTTTATAAGTACATACCAATTAAAACAAATCAAAATGATAGTAGTTGAATGTATTCTTTCCTTTCCCTTATAAAAAAGTACTATAAAATTTTAAAGAATTGTGGCTTAGTGGTAGAGCACTCGCCTGGCACATGCGAGGCCCTGGGTTCAATCCTTAGCACCACATATAAAAATAAATAAATAAAGGTATTGTGTCCAACTACAACTAAAAACTAAATATTTTTGAAAAATTAAAGAATTTTTTGTATTTCCTTCCCCCATATGTTTCACTTAAATGTAAGTCATAATATCATTCACTTCAAAAAACAGGTATATTATGTGGAACAAAAAAAAGATCAACAGCAGGCATAATGAAGGAAATGCAAATCAAACCACAGTGAGTTTTCACCTTGCTCCTACGAGAAAGGATATTATCAAAAAGACAAAGATAACATTGTTATCAGGAATGTGAATTTGTGTGGTGCTATGGCAAACAGTATGGAGAGTCCTCAAAAGTTTAAAATTAAAGATAGAAATAATGCATAATCCAGAAGTCCCACTATTGGGCATACATAAAAGGTAAATGAAATGTATATGTTGAATAGATGGCTACACCCCCATGCTGACTGAGGTACTATTCACAACAAGCCAAGATATGGAATGAATCTAAGTGATCATCCACAGATAAATGGACAAAGAAAACATGATATGTTCTAAAAATGCAATATTATTCAATCATAGAAAAGAATGAAATCCTGTCATTTACCACAACATTGATGGGCTTGAAGAATTTCAAGTAAATAAGCCAGACACTGAGAAACAAACACTATGTTTTCTCACTCATATATATATATATGGTACCTAAAAATGCTGACCTAAAAACAGGGTACAATAGTGGTTACCAGTAGAGGCCAAGGTGATTGGTGGGGAGTTATTGGGAAGATGTTAGTCAAAAAACACATAATTACAGTTGGATTGGAGAAAACTTTGTAAAGACCTATCATCCAGCATGGTGGCTATAGTTAGTGACCACATATTATAATCTCCAGGAATGCTAGTAAAACAGGTATTAAGTATTCCTAGTACAGAAATTATAACCATGGAAAATCATGCATGTTAATTTTCAGCATGTATATATGCTTTAAGGCATCATGTTGCATGTATTAAATACATGCAAATTTAACTGTCCATTTAAGTAGATACTTCTGAAAAATAGGAGAAAATAGGGAAATCATACTAAGATTTACTTTAAAAAAAAGAGGTGATAAACATAAATTGACTTCAAATTGGTACATTTAGAATTCATAGATAATAGCTTTAAATTATACTAAAATAGGAATTTTATGTTGAAAATAACAACTTTTTAATAGGGGACTGCTGCTTCTCCAGATCTGCAACTGCTGTAGATATCATTTAGATTACAAAATAATTACTTTTTTTCATAGTATATTACTGGTGGGCATTGGTTCCCTGAGATAGAAGAACAAGTCACTGTAAGATATCAAAGCAATATTTAGTCACTATAATACTGGAGTTACAAGAAAAACTGGAGAAACTGGAGCTTTGTTCACAATATTCAAGCCCAATGAGCTTGGTGATCATATTCATTTGAGAATCAGCTAGATTCTCTTTACAGAGTATGCATGTAGAAAGAGCTTGCATAGATCACAACTTTTGTGACAGCTGTGTTTAGCCTGGTTTGGAGCACTATCAAAGAAGTGGTATTAGATTTTGCCAAAGCCTCTTCAATCCCTGAACATGTATTTCCTTTCTGCCTCTGCACTGTTGGAATCATTCCAGTGCTTGAAGAAAAGTAAAGTTGCAGCAATGGAGGATGTCATACCTACCACAGATATCAATTTCAGCCTAAGAATTCAGGAACTTCTAAGAATAACCATGAAAGCTTCCGTACCCTTCAAATCTTCTTTTCCAAATTTTAAAATTTAAGTCATTCTTAATGAAGCAATACATGGTACTGCATTCCCTAATGATACCCTACACCTCAATAATATGAAAGATTCATAGACCTTTCCTAAATATTGATGCACAAAGTTCAATATAAATAATTTAACCAAAATTTACCATCCTAATTTGTAATTCGAAAACAAGGACAGCACATGATAAAATAACCCCACATCGTTTATTCACTCCATTCATGAAAAAAACCGAGTTAATTATCTATTGATTTATTGTGAGAAATGCAGAGATTGAAAAGCTAATTTAAAAACTGTGTATGACAATGGTTGTATAATCATTATTCTAAATACTACAATAGAATGGTGAATAATTTGCACATTATATAGTTTTCAGAAAAGTGAGATTTGTACTTATTATTCTTCAAGTTTACTCTTTAAATACCAGCTAGTTATTAATAAAATTAGTGAATATAACTAAATTATTTACCAAAAAATACTACTTTCTGATATTTTTAAAATTTTTAGAAAAGCCAGATTTCTGCTTTTTGGAGGAAGATGCTGGAATCTGTAGAGGTTATATTACCAGGTATTTTTATAGCAATCAGTCGAAGCAATGTGAGCGTTTCAAGTACGGTGGGTGCCTGGGCAATCCAAACAACTTTGAATCGTTGGAAGAATGCAGGAACACCTGTGAGGATGTTTGTAAGTACATTTCCATCTCATTTTAAACCATTCATAGGCACCCTTTAAAAATAAGGCATCATAGAAGACATTCAGATTTATCTAGGGTTTGTTTTAGCCATGTAAATGAAGATAGTCTTGTAATGATTAGATCTGAAAGAAGTTCATTATTGATTTTGTTTTTTAAACAAAGCATAGAGAAGTAAGACATTTAAATTGTTTCCATAGATCTCATATTCTTTATGGAATTGTTTCCATAGATCTCATAGATCTTTATGACACATTATCTAATTTTCCTTACACAGAATGGTATAGTATAATTTTGGCATAAATTGTAGGCCTACTGAAATATTTTATTCTTATCAAAATTTGGAATCAAATAGTAAATTTGAAATAGCCACCTTAAATCAATAAGTTTTATCTGCTGATTATTAAGGAGATGACTTACACATTAACTGTTATGCTTTTTTTTTTTAACCAAGAACATGGAAACATTACCTTATGTTACATTCCCTATTCAGTATTTGTTAATTTAACATAACAGTGTGAGTAAAATTGTGCTTTGCTTTATGTGTACAAATACAAAAATATTACAATATTCTCATACTGGGCTGTACTTTTTCCAGTGAATGATTTCCAGGTGGATGATTATAGAAAGCAGCTTGATGCTATAAACAATATCTCTGTGACTTCCCAACCTACCAAAGTTCCCAGCCTTTGGGGTAAGAATCTCATTTTTTTATTTCAGAAAAATACTAAAATAGTAATAGTGAAATGGATTGTGTATTAGAAGTATTCTTTGTTAAAAAAATAAATCCTACTTTTTAATTTAATAATGGGCATGTTAAAATAGTAAGATTCTAAGTGTGTAAGACTTTTAATCCTATAAAAGTGATAATTTTCCTAATCTCCTAAGTATGTAATTTCCTAAGTATGCTTTGAAGTAGGCTTTTATGTACCACATAGAAACTTTCGTATGATATTTAATTTGGTGCCAATTTTATGGTATAAGATAGTACTAGGGATTAGCTTCACTATATGATGATAAATCATTGAATTGAAAGTGGCATGTCAAAAGTGGTCTAAATTGAGCATTGACCCTGGGCAAGTTCTCTGGTATTAGTCAGAGGGCACATTACAAAATGTGTTTTAGTAACCATCCCCAAAAGGCATATCACTCTGGACAGAAACTTCTTTTGAACTTCTTCAGGATTCCCATTTGGATTCTACCCTGTTCATATATTTATTAGATTTTTTTAAAAGGATAAATGAAATGTTCCCTCAAACACAGAGCTCAGAAAATAGTGAGAGTACTGGAAAACAACAGAAAACACAAACATCTGGACAGTTAGAAACACACTTAAAAAGCAGAAAATTAACAGTATAAAGTTCTACCTAAATTTTAAAAATCACAAGTTCATTCAGAAATTGAGGATTACACTTAGAAGCAGTCCATCTAAGTATGTCAAATCTAAACTTCACATGAGATGCAGGTATTTCTGTGGCTATTAAGATTATAACCTTAGTAGAAAAATAAATAAGAGTTTGATCCAGGAGTTAACTACCCTGGTCATGTGTTTGATTGTGATGGGATTCACAATCAAAATATCATTTATTTATAACAAAAAAATAGTAGGAAAACAAAATTTCTGCCCAGATGTATTTAAAGCACTGCAAAGGTTGCTTGAGAGTTGTCTGGAATGAGGTCTGTCAACATCCAGATTAGACCCACAGCTACCCAATCACCTGTGACTATTGCTTTAGTCTGAGAACCACACCTTGGGAGTCACAAGAGAATTTGAAACATGCCTATAGAATGACTGGAAAGTGTAAGGAACTCGAGATCTAAGAGGAAACATTGTATATGTTCTCAAAACCTGAAATACTCTTAAGTCAGGTTGTGTCTGTACACTTCTCACCCTTTAGTCCTGCCCAATCTAGACCTCCAAATCAACACCCACATCCCCACCTTTCCATGTCCTCCTGATTAATGAGGATTAGTATTTGAAGTCTAAAGCATAACTATCTCCTTGCAAAATGTTTGTTTGTGTTGTGAGATCTTCAATAAAGAATGGTTGTCTCACATGTTAGCAAATTCTTTAAATCATAGGTAGTCAGGAGTTGTTTAATACATAAGAGGTCATAAAAGGAATGAAAATTTTCTCTGGGAGTTGAAAGATGTGCTAAATTCAAACTATCTTCAAAATTTTTGATGTTATAATCAGGAAAGTGCCCTTAACACCAAATTGACCTATGTTTTATTTTTTAAATATTGCTTTCCTTATAATGAGTATCTTTGTGTTTATTTTTTTATCTGTAAAAATAAGTGGTTTCATTGCATTGTTTATTTCTACCAGCTCTAAATCTCAAAGATGTTTTGTTTTAGACACTTAAATATTAAATGTCAAAGGAATTTTAAATTTTATTGTTTATAAAGATGTGAAAGTTTATAATGACAAAATTAACAGGCTTAAAGATATATGTGATACAATAGGTCTACAAATGTATGAAATCGTTTTTCAATACTTCAGTATTTTCTGTTTGAGTCCAACACCAATTAAAGGGGAGATATTAAATCAGTTATCATTAAAATAAGTAGAGTAGTTTAGGAAATAGTTTTCTTTTGCCTCTATGTTTAATGAAGTATAAAATTCATGATTTTTTGCAAATGTACTACCACGAAAAAATGTGGAAATGAAGAAAGGGATGCGAAGGTAATTTAAACAGGCTTTAAATACTCTGATAGATGTCCATTCTATGCTTTCATGAAGAAGCATATAGAAGTGTAATAAATAAGTGGTTATAAAATAAATTATTAACTACGAAAGAAGTAAAAAATGACAGTACAAATTTAAAAGAAACTATAAATAAGGATTTTATTTAAAATAATAGGCATTTAAAATGTTTTCATAGTAATTTACTTTAAAATTAAGGCAAATTCTTCCTTCATTTGTTTAGAAAACTTCTAAAATTTTAATTGTGTATATTTGCCTCAAAAAATCTATATTCGTTTGATACTTTTTCCTCTTTTTCTAGAAGCATAAGACATATTCTTTTCTTTGTCTTTTGTTTTGCAATCTTCCTAACCTAAAACATGAAATAATATTAAAATAACTACTTTGAGAATTTTTTATAGTAAGGGTGGCTTGGCATGGGGAGCTTAGCAATGAAGCCAGGGTTGCATTCTTCCTAAGACCTGCAAGATCCCTGGCCTTCCCTGTGCAGGATGCAGAAGGCAGTGTGGGGATATCCCTCCTCTCCATTCAAAACCAAGATAATCCCTCCTCTGCTTCATCCAAGGGGTGTGCTGATGTCTATAAAGATCTCCTAATTTCTCAGCTCAAAAAAAAAATTACATTCATCACTGCTTGCAATAATCTTAATACATTAGATGATAATTTAAGGAAATTCAGTTCTTGGCTTAGGTGAAACCTTGTTATTCAAGGTTTTTAACAAATGTGTAAGGATCTTTATATCAGTTTCTTTTGAAAAGATGTAAGACTTACAAGTTTCAACTCAGTGTGAAGGAATTATACAACATAAACAGCATTCTTTAAAAAATATTTCCATTAAATAACAATCCTTACAGTATTTAAATATTCTAAAATTTAATTATCATCAATCATTTAAGTGGGATATTTGCAATTATAATTTCAAATGTTTCTCTTCATGATACTAGAAAAGTGTTTCAGAAATTTTGTCTAGTGTTTATCATTACTAGAAAATGGTTTGGTAAACTATTTTTAAATTTCTACTTATTCGTAACTACTAGACTATTGTATGTTGGTTTGAGTATATATTTTTTTAAGTAATTGCTCAACTCAAGGTTAAGCACAGTTGAGGTTTAATTTTTTTATTTATATATTTCAATTTTTTTTTAATTTTTACATTTCACCTCTACTTACAAGTTATTCCACCATTTTGCTACCAGACTATATGGGTGATTTTGAAGACTGTGCCTTACTCTTCCTTAGAGACCATTTTTTAAATGATTTGTAAATGGAATGTCGTGGCGCATGTGTATAATCCCTGCAACTCAGGAGGCTAAGGCAGTAGGATCCAAACTCAGGGCCTCCCTGGGCAACTTAGCAGGACCCTTTCTCAAAGTAAATAAATAAATAAATAAAATAAAAATGGCTGGGGATGTAGGTCAGTGGCAAAGCATCCCTGCATTCAATCCCCAGTACAAAAAGAAAAAGAAAGATTGTAAGCATATCCTGGAGTACAAGTGAGAGCATTATTTGATTTAATCAGCTGAATTAAGAGGATATTTAGCTACAGCAAATGTGTCTCTATATGTGTGAGAGAAATATTTCTAAAGCAGTTTCTCTAGATGAGTGCAGTTTATGCATAATCTTCTGAATGAAAACATATCACAACTTGTTCTTCTCCACTTCGCCCCTGTGATTGACCATATGATATTGTAGCTCGAAGATATGGGTTCTAGGTCTGGGGTTGTGGCTCAGTGGTAGAGCGCTTTCCTAGCATGTGTGAATCACTGGTTTTGATTCTCAATACCACATAAAAATAAATAAATAAAGAGTTTGTGTTCATCTACAACTAAATATATATATGTTCTAATCACTACTCTTGCACTTAATAGCTGTGTGGCCCTAAGATATTTCTCTAACCACTTAGAGTCTTACCTTCCAATTGTAAAATGGGCATAGTAATGGTCAATGTACAGATCTCTCAGGACGATGCCTGATACTTTGTCAACTATTACAATAATACTATTACCAAGTATTAGTATCCCCCTTGTATTTCAGAGAAACACACTTAATTCTCCAGACCTTGGTTTCTCATCTGTAAAAACAACTCTGTAAGTTCCCATCTATAGGAGAAATAGATATTTCAAACACTTAAAAAAATCTCTAATTATTCAGGTTAACACCTCAAGAAATATAGTCTCAAAATCACAACTAACTTTTAAAGAAGATTTCACACTACAACTAAATAAATCTATGCATGGAAACAGCCAGTTCAGATGTGTTAATTAAAAACAAGTTGAGATCAGTGGCATGTAAAAATATCATGGGATGGCAAAAGCAAAAGCAGAGTATTTGTATCATTTTTGTTCACCTTTTTAATATTTCCAACTTTCCACACATTCCAAGTTCTGCCATTGTTTTATTTCTATTGTTCCAGTTTGAACACTTGAAAATGTAATTTGATCACTTTTTTTTCTTGTAATCATTCAATACATTTTATTGCTTTTTCTAGTGAGGCATTCATTTCTGTTTTTTTTTTTTTCCATTTTCAGTCTGGTCTATTTTGTTCAGATTGTGAATCTGCTCCAAACTCTACTTAGTTTACTCAAACAATATAAATCTAAACTGGGAAAATAGGGACAGTAAAAGGGAATGCTAAAAAGTTTAAAATATGTGGTTAATTTAAATATACATGCATTGGCAGCAAAGCCGAACTGTCATTTTGGTAAATCTATGAAATGTTTTATTATTTAAAATATGTATATTTTAATGGGATGTGATATGCCTCCAAAATAAACATGAAGTAATATTGGCTCAGGCAAACCAGGTAATATAGACATGAGAGAAACAGTTATCACGAAGCTCATATGTAATGGAGATATATTATATGTGAGTATAATATGTAAGAAAGTCAGATACCTGATATAAGTCAATTAAATGTATTTATGTATACATATATATGGAGAGAGAGTAATATATAAGATGAATTATGCATGATCTTTTGGACATCA